TGACGGGTTGATAAACACCTGTTTTCCTCAGGCTTCACCTGAATTTACACCATCAGTGCCTCCCTCCTTTAGTTGGCTCTCTGTTCTTCTTTCTAAATGTGAATATTCCCTGGAGGGAGGTAAAACATTAAATGGATTCTCATTAAGGAAACTCCTTAGGCTTATCGGATCTGCTTCTCTCTGATGAGCGGCTCAGGAGCTCCACATTTGTATAGAATGGAGGTCAGGGCCTCAAAGTTCTCCCACTTCCCGGCTGAGCCTGAGGGTGACTCAGGCCCCCACTTGGGGGCATCAGTAAGCTGTCCCTAATAACTAGAGTGTATTTTCTAGTTGTTTTCTTAACTTGTTTCAATATAGAGCCATACCTAATATTAACAGAGAGGAATTTGAGAGATGATGAAAGCTATGTATTTTACCTATGACCCAAGGACTTCTGGCAAGGTGCCTTACCTGGGCTGGAGTCATGCCTATTTTCCCTGGACACAGAAATGCCTGTCAGTGCAGAAAGGCCTATTTTTGATCTTGGAAATAAAAGTTTCCTGGGGTGAGTTATTAGTCCTTTCCAGCCTTCCCAACCCCTCGGCTGTAGCCATGGCCTTCTGATCTGTGCTTCTTAGGGGTGCTGCAGGCTGCAGATAGAGCCCCATCCTGCCGTCCTCCCCCACAGAGCACACTGGACAGGCTGCTTCTGCTGAGACCCAAATCCAGGATTTCACTTACTGTAGGTCCTCCTTGCCCAAGGCCCAAGTCAACCTCCCGTTCAGTGGGATTTATGATCCAGTGCTTCCCAATCCTAGCAGAATCCCTGTGGACCATCAGAAACTTGACTGACAGAAGAAAAGAGGTCCATGACCATGGGTCCCAATCCCCACTGGTGGCAGTATTTCCCCAGCAGTGAGCTGTGGGAGCCATCCTGTTCTGCATCTGGTTGGCAAGAGCAAGGCGAGCATCTCCCCTAGAAATGTTAACCCCCAGGAAATCCCAGACTCCAGTCCTCCTCACCCCTTGGGAAATGCAAATTGGATAGAAGAGAAGAAACTGATTTAATTAAAACTAAACCAAAACATCATATGTAGATATTTTTGTTTTTCTCACCAGGGCTGGATTAAAGCATGCAATTCAAAATAAGAAGAACTTAAGGCAGGAGATAGGTGTAAGGAAGTCCAGATTTTCATAGGAAGACTACTGTGGTAATTTTTTGGCAATCCCAAATTCTCTTTCCACCTGTCTAGTCAAGCAGTCTCTCTCCCCCTCCCTCTCTCGTTGTGGCTTTACTGCTGTCAGAAGCTTGTACTTTTAGACAGGAGCAGTTACTTCCACTCCCCACACACGCCTTAGAGCATCCTTGTAAACAAAACAAGCAGAGGAAACATGCTGGGAAATCCACAGCTTTGGGCTTTTGCGGATTCTTTTCACTTGGGAGCAGCTGCTGGGGACTAGGAAAGATTAGGCTGAAGAGTGAGAGGCTACTCCTCCTGGCAGGACCTGGAGGAGGACAGAGCCCTCGGGTGGTCCCCTGTGCCTGCTCCTGGTTAGCCTTCTGTCCTGAGGTCGGAGCCTCGGGGGCCATGCTCCTAAGAACTGTGCTCAGCTCCTCATCTCACTCTGTTTCTCTCTGCCTTCCCCTGCCTCCCTCTTCCACAGCCATGCCGGGGACGGGCACCATCATAATTCAATACTTTGCTCACTTTCATGTCAAGTAACACTATCCAGGGAGGTGGCTTAGACCTTCAGTCGCCAACTCCCAGGCCTCGGACAGGTACTGGTCCGTGGCCTGTTAGGAACCAGGCTGCACAGCAGGAGGTGAGCAGCAGGTGAGCAAGTGAAGCTTCATCTGCACTTATAGCCGCTCCCCATCACTGGCATCATTGCATAAGCTCCTCCCCCACTCAGATCGGCGGCAGCATTAGATTCTCACAGGAGCTCAAACCCTACTGTAAACTGTGTATGTGAGGGATTTAGGTTGTGAGCTCTTTGTGAGAATCTGATGCCTGATGATCTGAGGTGGAGCTGAGGCAGTGATGCTGGTGCTGGGGAGCGGCTGCAAATACAGATGATCATTAGCAGAGAGGTTTGACTGCACAGTAAATATAATGCGCTTGAATCATCCTGACACCATCCCCCCCACACCCAAGTCTGTGGAAAACTTGTCTTTCATGAAACCAGTCCCTGGTGCCCAAAAGGTCAGGGACTGCCGGCTTAGATAAAGGAAGAAGTGTTAGGAGATCTGGGTTCATATTAACTCTGCTGCCAGTAATAATGGCCAGAGACCCTCAGATGCATGAAATTTGCTCGGAATTACTTAGATAAAGCAGATACTGGCCACACTCCTTTGCTTCTCCTGTGTTTCACAATGAAGACATCTGAGAGAAAAAAGTAGGGGGTGCACAATGGGAGTAAATACGGTAATCAGCTGATTTGCTGGATCAGGAGCTGGACTTAGGACTTAGGAGTGCCAATGGGGCTCGCTTAGTGCCTACTTCTGGCTGGGACTGAAGTGTAGGCAAGATTGGCTCGTATCTGGGAAAATCATAAGCTGAATAGCAGGGGAAGAGGAAGCACTGCTTTCACTTCAGTGGAGCCTCAGCCTCTCCCTGTGAGCCAAGTGTCCTTCTGAGAAAAGCAAAGACTAAGCCAAGACTTCTGTCTTTAACGAGGCAGCTACTTCAGCTGTATTGATGTTTTGATTGATCCCTTGCTCCTGATTGTTCAAAGCGGACCCCAAAGGAGAAGGCAGAGCAAAGAAGGTCCCACCAAGCAGGTATGGTTTTTCTTTCTTTCTCTTTTGCTGGGGGCCAACTGCCCTCAGTTCCTTGCTAACGATGTGTGGGAACACAGATATAGCTTGCATGAGAGGTCAGCATCGTAGCAGGTTGTGGATCATGTTGGCCTTGCTGCTGTCTCCTCATTTCCAGGTTGAAAAAAAGCATGAAGACAATCGCCTAATATTGAACCCGATTGCCGATGCTCCCTGGTCCTGCCCTTGCCTCCTAGAATAATAATCATAGTGGAAACCAACTCTCGTGAGTTCCCACGAGTCATACATACAACCAGCCCCTCTCTGTTACAGGGCTGGAGTCCCCCACCCAGAAGATACCACCACATGGGACTGTGGGAACTGGGAACAACCCAGCCCTGGTTCCTATTGGCCTGTTGAGTTAGCGCTGGCAGCCCCCAGAGCCAAGGACAGTCATGAGGCCTCGCCACCTCAGAGCAGGGCCCCTCGGAGCCCCTGCCACACCCCTGCACAGAGTCAGCTTTGGACCAGTGAGTTTGCTTCCTCTACTTGTGAGGGGAGGCATCTTGTCCCACAGAGCTGAGTCTTTCCTGCATGTTCCTGCCACCAGGTCCTTCTTCTCTCCACCGCACAGCCCAGCATGGCTGAGGCTATGGCCTGAGGCATCGCTTTAAGGCGACTCCTGTCTAGTCTCGGCCAGGAAGCACCTCTGAGGCCACTGAAGCTTGACTCAGTGAGTCGGCTGTGGTAGGCGCTGACCCCTCCACATGGTCTTTAACGATATGGCCAGGAGGCCTCAGAGGCCACAACCTATTTAGTCAGTTGGTTAATAAGAAAGATTATTTCTCTGTACACGAAAATACTTACTTAAAAAACATTTTGGTTATATAATAAACTTAGTCCAAACCTGAGGTTGGCAAACTATGGCTTACAGGCTAAATCTGGCCCACCAATTGTTTTTATAAATAAAATTTTATTGGAACACAGCCATGCTCGTTCATTGTGTGTTGTATATGTCTGCTTTTGCCCTACAACAGCAGAAATGAGTAGTTGCAAAAAAGACAGTATGGCCCACAAAGCCTAAAATATTAACTATCTGGCCCTTAACAGAAAAAGTTTGCCAATCCCTAGTCTAAAAGCTATCAACTTATTGAAAAATTACTATGGAATAAACATAAGACAACCACAAAACTAAGCTATTTTTTATAGGTATTAACTTTGTAAATTATAAAGTAATACATGATTCCATGCTCCTTGTGAAATGAAAAAGCAGTATAAAATTTACCTTTGGCTATCCTGCCAATCCTAATCCCGTTTCCCCAGAAGTAACTAGTATGATGTATTTACTGCTAGACCAGGTTTTTGTGTATGTGTGTGTTCATATATGCATACATGTACTAAAAATATATTTGTTGTCATGTTGTTCTCTTTCTGTTTTTCCACTCAACAACATGACTTGGAGACTTTCCGTATCTGTATAGTGCCCTGCTTCACTTATTTTTAACTGCTATATAGTATTTTACAGTGTACAATCCTAAATTTATTTAGCCACTTCGTTTTTGAAAGATATTTAAGCTGTTTCCAATTTTCCAGTCTTAACAACGAACCTCACTGTATATATCTACTTGTACACACGTGCACAAGTTTCTCTAGAGGAGCTACTGAGAAGGTGAATTGCTACTACATAAGATATATATGGTTCAATTTCGGATACTTTGAAATGCCTCCATGGTGCCTGTGCCAATTTATACTCCTACCAGCAAAGAAGAGTAGTTACTGTTCCTCCACACCCTAAACAGTGCTTGCTTTTATTCAATATTTTATTATTTTTTCCAACTGAATGAGTGAAAATGGTAACCCATTGTTTCAGTATTTCAATTTCCCTGATTATTAATGAGGTCGAGTGTTCTTTTTATATAACTCTTGGTCATTGTATTTCCTCTTCTTAAATTGCCCATTCATTTCCTTAGCTCGTTTTATACTGGGATTTTTACTAATTTGTAGAATTTCGTGATTTATTCTCAATGCTATCTTTTGATACACTTGTGATAAATATTCTGTCACTTTTTTTAACTTTTTTTAAGATCATTTTTTGGTCAACAGAAATTTTTACTATTGTTGTTACTTTAATGTAGTTGAATTTGTCAGTTTTCCCCTTTATGGATTTTACTCTTTGAGGTTGATTTAAGAAAGCTTTCTCAATCTCCAAGATTATGAAGATATTTGGCATACTTCTTTAAATAGTTTTATCATTTAAAAATATAAGTTTTTATCTACCTGGAACTTATTTTAATGAATTACTCCAATACCATTTATTGAAAAGTCTTTTTCCTATTTATTTGAAATGTTATCTCTATCATGTACTGGATTCCCACTTACACATGTCCATTTCTGGATACTCTGTTCTTTTGTATTTATTTCCTTTCTTGAGACAATAGCTACTATAGCTTCTACATTTTCTATTGATTTTTTTTCCCTGATGTATAGGAATTCTATTTTGGTAACTTACTGAATTCTTTTAATAGTTATAAAAGTTTATCAGTTGATTCCTTTGGAATTTCTAGACAGGCAAACATATATTGTGAGAGTTTTGCTCCTTCCTTTCTAATCTTAACAAAGCTTTATTTTTTGTCTTATTACCTTTTCTTGGATGTGCTGTGTCAGGAGGATTTTCTTGGCCCTCCAGCATAATGTTGAGTAATAGCCATGACAGAGGATAGTCTCAGGGCTGACGCAAACAGTTGTGTGGGTTGTACACTGCGAGGGGATACTGTTCACAAATACTTAGATGTCCTAGGCATTCTTGTCATGTTCCTGATTTTAATTCATTTTTATTTTGTACTGTGAATTCATATTTCTTAGAACCTTCTCTCTGGGATTCTTTGAGGCTGGGGTTGAAACTGTTTACCTCCATACCTATTTGCTTTTGTCTGGAGTCTGGGGACAGAACCAACTGGGACTACCATAAACTTGGGGTTTATTGGCCGTACAAGTAGTATGAATTCTGACCCAAACTTAGCTGGTTGCAGGATTGTGGTTAGGCATGCTCAAAACAAACTTTCCTTTTTTCTCCACCCAGAGCCAAAGGTGAGAAGGCCATGAATTGCCCTGTCTCCCTCTGTGATACATCAGAGGATGTCATCCTTAGGGGATCCCGATTTTATGCTGAAGTCTATGATCTGACCTCCTACCCTGCTTAGGCGCCAGGCTTTTTCTCCTATTCTCCCATTAAAACCAAGGCTTCCCAGCCTGAGCAAGAGTGAGACCCCATCTCTACAAAAAACAGAAAGAAAAGTTAGCCAGGTGTGATGGCGCCTGTAGTCCCAGCTACTCGGGAGGCTGCTGCAGGCAGATTGCTTAAGCCCAGAAGTTTGAAGTTTCAGTGAGCTATGATGACACCGCTACACTCTAGGCTGGCTGACAGAGTGAGACCCTGTCTCAAAAAAAAAAAACAAAACAAAGCAACAAAAAACAACAACCAAAAAACCAAGGCTCCAAGCCTCCAGGAATCTAGATAACCCCAGGGCAATCATAGACTCCCCTTTCATAACTCTTCCAGGCTTAGCATAGTCTTTTAAATTTTGGCTTCTCAAGACTTCCCTCACTTTCCTACCAGCTCAATCCTACATTAAAAACAATATTTAAAAAAACTTATGTACTATTTTTAGATGTGCTGTGTCAGGAGGATTTTCTCTAAATACCTTCTCCGTCATAGTACTGGCAATAACGTCTCTGTTTTTTTACTTTAATGAGAATGAGTCTAATGCTTCTTCAATAAGATTTGTAGTAAATTTTTTGGCAACTATCCTATATCAAGTTAATGAAGTTCTCTTCTATTCCTCTTGGTTAACCAATAATTTTTAAATCATGAATGAATATTGAGTTTTAGTCAACATTTTTTAGCATCTATTAATTTCCTCATCTTATTTCCATTGCTAATGGATTCGCTTAATTAGTTAGCTCATCTCTAGAGTGATGGAAGCAGAAATGACCCGATAGCTAGTAGGACCCTTGGAAAGCAGACCCACGATTAAAAAGAACAATAAATTCAGAGAATGGGGACAAAATTAATTCAAATTCTTAGTGTGGTTGCCATGTTCTGTACCCGGAGCCATCAGACTCTTGTCCTTACACTTCAGATATTGGTGTCCTGAGCAAAACCTTGGAAGCACACGAGGAGAGTGTGGGAAACCCCTCTTGCATATGGGGCCTTCCAGGTGGTGTTTTTGAAGGGGACTGGGAAATGTTTCCTGCGACATCTCCTGAACTTCTATGAAACATTGAAGTAACAAACTGAATATCCAACAGAAAATAGAGATAAAGAGACATATCTAAATCTCCCATGTAATACAAGAAATAATTCTCCTGGATCTCTGTGAATTCCAAAACAAAAAGTCAAACTCTCAAGCCACAGGCAACAATAGCTCTACACATGCTTTGGTAAGAGACAGGCAGTTAAATCAGAGGGGTACTTGTGACTTAGACTGACGCCAGCTCTCAACCTTGATCTGTGGCTAGTAACAAACGTTCTGACCTCTTGGATCTGATGACTGAGCGCCAGGAAGCACAAAGGCCAATTTTCATTTATGACCGCCTGAAGATAGCAGCAGACTTATCTCATTTCAATTCATAAAATGTGACTTTTGCTATTTGCGTTTCCTCTGGAGGCCTGCCCCATGCCAGGGCCAATGAAGAGGAAACTTTTGCTCACAATACTTGATTTGTTTCAAACGAATTTCAATATATGGTCTCATTTTATCCCCATGAATTTTTGTGATAAAAATTTAACTTACATATTAATAGTGTATTCACACTACAGGAAGAATCAAAAGAAAGGGAAAAGAAAAGAGGCTCTGTCACTAATTGCCTTCGTAAACCTGGACACGCCTCAGAGCCCCAACTTCCTCATTTGCAAAAGGAATAATGAGCCTTCCCCACCCCACCTCACCCGCCTCACAGACACCTAGACATGAAGTTGTGATTTTGAAATCATTGTGTAAACACCCAAACCCGTATAAATGTGAGTTAAAGTCACCAGCCTTCTCCCTTCATTGAACAAAGCCAACAGTTTCATAGGCTTCACTCACCTGTGTCTTAGAAATTCGGTATTCTTATATTGCTTTTCCTTTACCTGCTTTTTTCTCCTCTTTACCCTCTGGCCAGTTCTGCTATTTACATATGCATATATATGTCTGTGTGTATGTATATATGTAAATAGATATTCACATTATAAAATATACATATGAGATAATCCTGTTGTCTCCAATAGTTTCTATCCTTAAGATCATGCTTTTGTTTTAACTATTTACCCCTTTTCACTTAGACTCTGTTGCTCCAACTTCACGTTGTCCACTCTTTCCTTCACATAATCTCAGTGACCTGGTTCCAAAGCGCTTTGATTTGACTCATTTGAAAACAAAATGTATCTGCATGTCCTCCCCACGCTGTTGGTGGGAAGGGACTATTTCACCCTCAAGTGTACATTGACTTTAAACAACGATGTATGATGTGAGTTGTTTCATGGCTATTTGACTATTTCCTTTGTTTTCTAGAACCATAAAGATATTCCCATTGATGCAATCGTCTCTCCATCACAGCCTTTTTGTGTACAGCTGATGTTCCCTCTGCTTGGTTGGATTCCCCAGGTCTGTGCTGCTGCTCCAGGTGCGGGCTGCACAGCGGCAGCTTGAGCATCACCTGGGAGCTTGTCAGAAATGCAGGAGCCCAGGCCAACCCAGACCCCCTGGGGAAATCTGCATTTTCCCAGGCATCCCAGGTGACTTGTATGTACTTTAAGGTTGGAGAATCTCTAGCTTAGATATAAGAACAGGCTCTAGGTTACCTTAAATAGTAGGAATTCTGAAGTAGGCATGGGAGAGAAGGGAGGCAAAAATCTCAACTGCCACAGACCTTGGCCTCAAAGATTCAAATGTAGTTCAAAGTTCAGGTCGTTCAGGATCCAACATAGCTTCATTGATCTGGTTACCTTTTTATTCTCACTGCAGTGCTTTTACCTATGGTTGCTACTTTCCTTCTGCTGATTCCCTGCCTTCTGGGCCCTGTACTGCCTTCTGCGTGTGTTCTGTCCACCATATATAAGGCAGGACTGAGACGGGCACTACAGCCAGCCCAATATTTTGGTTTCCCTCTCAATATTCTTTAAATATTTAATCAACATTTGTTTATTTAGTGATGTTCCTTTTCTTAATTCTAGTAAGATACACATAAAATTTTACCACCTTAATCATTTCAATAATGTCAAGTAGTTTGCATTGTTGTGCAACCAAGCTCCAGATCTTTTTCATCTTATAAAACTGAAACTCTATACCTATTAAACAACAACTCTGCATTCTCTTTCCCCCACAGCCCCTGGAAACCACCATTCTACTTTTTGTTTCTCTGAGTTTGACTACTACACCTCACAGAAGTAAAATCATATATTATTTGTCTTTCTGTGACTGGCTTATTCACTTAGCATAATGTCTTCAAGGTTCATCCATGTTGCAGCATATGTCAGAATTTCCTTCTTTTCAAGCTGAATAATACACCATTGCATGTATGCGCCACATTTTGTCCATCCATTCATCAGCTGATAGACACTGGCGCCACTTCTACCTTTTGTGATTGTGAATAATGCTGCTGTAAACACACGCGTACAAATATGTCTTTAAGTACCTGCTGTCAGTTATTTTGGCTATATACCCAGCAGTCATTGCTGAATCACACAGTAATTCTATTTTTAATTTTTTGAGGAGCTGCCATACTATTTTCTATAGTGGCTACACCATTTTACATTCCCACCAACAGAGCACAAGAGTTCCAATCTCTCTACATCCTTGCCAACACTTGTTAGTTTCTGGGTTTGTAAGGTGATATCTCATTGTGGTTTCAATTTGCATTTCCCTTATGATTAATGATGTTGAGCATCTTTTCATATGCTTGTTGGCAAGTGATTTTTTTTAATGAAAAATGTGTATCATGTTCTTTATGGTCAAAATAGGTAATTTGCTCTGTGCAATTTTCCAAACCACACAACTTCTTAGAAGGCATGTTTAGTGTTTAGATAATAAGACAGTCCACTCATGCCCTGTAAATAGCCCTACACCACATATTGTTCTATTTCTGGCTCCGTCTGCCAATTTAAGCAGGTTGTCCTTAGGGGCGGTGGTTCGCTGGCATCGCCCTGTGTGATGGGGGACTCTACAGAGACTAGTCTGCACTGTCAAGGAGTGTTTTAAATTTTCACCTGAGGGTGTTGACTGCTTTGGTAAGAAAGGAAACTATGATTCACCTTATTTCTGGTTTGTTCTAGTTTGTTTTGGTGCCTTTGAATATGGCGGCCCCCTAGGCAGCAGTCCAGCCAGCCGGTCCTTTAAGTTGGATCTGTCTGTTTGCCCGACGTGTGGACTCTCCAGAAGAGGATCTGAAAGAGTCAGCAGATTACTCTGTCCCTGAGAGGGAGAGCAATTACACCACCCCTCACAGGCCCCAGAAGGCCTATGGACCCTTTGTTTGGGTACCTGGGCCTGGTCCAACCAGGACCCCTCTTAGGGCAGCTGTGGGTGGTGCAGGCCTCCAGAGCAGTCTCCTCCTGCAAGGTCAGGCTGGGCGAATGTTTGTAAGAGTCTCCTGTACAGGGACAGAGAGGGGAGGCTGTGAACGCTCACACAGAACACCATTTGTCCCCTCGTAATTGTAATTGCCTCACAAATGTTGGCAGTTTAGGTGATGCACCTATCTTTTTCTGATGTGGGAGGGGAGGCAGTAATACCTTTTTCTATCAAAATAATTCCTTGATTCCTGTCTTTTTTAAAAAAAAATGGTTATTTGGTGGGGTTGAGCATGGTGGGGCACACCTGTAATCCCAGCATTTGGGGAGGCCAAGGCGGGAGGATGGCTTGAGCCCAGGAGTTCTAGATCAGCCTGAGCAAGAGCGAGACACTGTCTCTACAAAACATAAAAATAATTAGCCAGGCATGGTGGTGCGCGCCTGTAGTCCCAACTACTCAGGAGCCTGAGCCCTGACGATTTAGGTTGCTCTGAGCTATGATCATGCTACCGCACTCCAGCCTGGGTGACAGAGCAAGACCCTATCTATAAAACAAAACAAAACAAGTTATTTGATGGATCTTTTATCAAAATCGGATCTCACTGAAACCCCCACCCTGCTGCCCACCCCATTCTCTTCTAGCCAAAGTCCACTCTTCCCCCTTCAGGGTTGCCACAAGGAAAATGAGCAGCCACAGTCCCTGCCACTCAGGCAAGATTAAAGAATTACAGGTCGGCGGAGAGGCAGGACAGGGGCCACTGTGGGCCAAGCCGTCCCAGCCCTGCCCAATCAATGGAGGCTTTCTTCTGGAGGGAGAATCCATTTCCTTGCCTCTCCCAGCGTGGAGATGCCGCTGCATCCCTTGCTCACAGCCCCTTCTTCTGTAGTCAAAGCCAGCAACTTAGCATCCGACCCCTTTCCACATCACAACTCTTTCTCTCACCAAACCTATGAAAGTTTTTCCAACTTTAAGTCCCGTGATTAGATTGAGCCCACCTGGATCACCCAGGCTGCTCTCCCCATCTCCAGGCCCGTACCCTCATCGCACCTGCTAAGACCCTTCTGCCACACGAGGAAACACAGTCACGTGCTCGGGGGAGTGGGGTGCAGGCGTCTTTGCAGCCCTTATTTTGCCTGCCACAAGGACACAATCGAAAATATTACAGAGGATGCCAGGGAATTAATTAATTCAAATGTTATGCTATTTTTCTGGATTTTGTGATGTTTCTTACTTGTTCTTTTTAATATTTGTAATTTATTGTGATTTCTTTTTTATTCTTTCTTACAAATACATATTTTCTTTGGTACATAATTTTGTATTCCTTTTGCTGGAACTATGTAAGCTTCGGACCCCACATAAGTTGACACCTCTTCTCACCCATTGACTAAACTGAGAACTGGATGAAATCTTTCTTTCAAACTCCATCGGCTGGGCCTGGACAGCACACAGGCCAGTAAGGGAGCCAGGAAAGTACAGAAGTGGAGCCTACGTGTGTCTCAGTGACTCTCCTGCCTGTGACCCCAAGAGTCCCTTACCAGGGCAAAGTGCAGTGCAGGCAGGCGGTGAGGGACGCCCCAATGGCAGATAAGCTTTGTGTGCCCGCGGAGGGTGGGGGTGGGAAAGGGCAGGGCGGGAGAGCGCGATAAGGGATCCCTTGCACCATTGCCCTGGGAACGTCATTTTCCCTGCTTCAGCTCTCCCCATCAGCTGTCCTTGCTCATTAGGG